ACTCTAGGTATCTGACAGGGAATATCTAACTCACTTGCAATCAAAAGCTCAATTGAGCAAAAAAAAATATTTATGGAAGCCACTCTGAAGGGCGTGCCACCATTTCCCCAGACAAGCCAGAATCTATCCCTGGATTAAGCCACAACAGCTAAGTATCGTGCTCTGACTGAATTGATGAGTCCTTGAGGAATTATTTTACTGAATTTATACTTGGGCCTTATACCATCTACTTACATTGAGGGACACTACCAGGAGTCCTATGAAAACTCATTGCTATTTCAATTTAAGGATGTTGTTAATTGTATTAACAAAAAATGTCTTCTTTATGTGGAATGAAGGGAGAAATAATTGAGATTCTCTTGGGCATATTTTTTCCTCATGGACACATGGATTTTATCACTTACCACATTCCCCTCTTGAAAGGTTTGGAATAGTAAATTCATGACCTATTACCAGGAAATATGCTGGGAATTGCACCAAATGTTTTATACTTTAACTGCTTACCTAACTTTGTTATCTTTTCAAATCTTAATTTTTCTCATTTTCTCAATCTACTTATTTACAAGTTTTTTTTTCCCTCCCATTGAAAAGACTGTGTTTTCATAAATCACCTGAAATCATTTCTTTATAAGTAAGATTGCAGTATATGAACACCGTGGAGAGCAGTGAGGAAATAAGATTTACATATGCCTGCACTCCACTCTCTTCCCCCTATACCTGTAGCCTTTTATACGGCTGTATGCTCAAATAAGGACTTGAAGACTCAAAAGAGGAATGTCATTGAGTTTCACTGAGAAATAATAATGTCAAATACTGTTTTACCAACTTCCAAAAACATGTTAAAATAAATCAAAACTTTCTGCTATATGGTTACTTACATAAGAGAATTTTGGCCCGCTATCCTAACATACTACTTTATTATTTATATTCAGTACCTATATATGATAGATAGTTTACATTGCCTCACCACTAACTCACACCTTGAACTCTACTTACGCCAACGTCCTGCAGTTGACAAATCCAATGATTTCCTCTTCTTTTTTTTTTTTTTTAATTTTTTGTTTGTTTATTTATTTATTTATGAGAAAGAGAGAGAGTAAGCTGGGGAGGGGCAGGGAGAGAGAGCGAGAGAGAAATCCCAAGGAGGCTCCACACTTTCAGGGCAGAACCTGATGTGGGGCTTGAACCTACGAACTGAACTGTGAGATCATGACCTGAGCTGAAACCAAGAGTCAGACGCTTAACTGACTGAACCACCCAGGTGCCCCAATGATTTCTTTTCTTCTTCTTTTTCTGTACATTTTAATTTTACGTATACCTATGTCAACCATTTCTTTCATCTTGAACATCTCTTCACGTTTGATTGTTCTATACTTCCAGTCATTCATTCTTTCATTGAAAAATATTCATTGCATCGTCACTCAGTAGAAGCACCACACCAGATGTAAACTCTGTGTTGATCTGCCTTTTCCTTCCACGTTCTATTTCGTTTTGCTCATCACATCCAAACTTTAATAGTAATATTTCCTGAAGCTCTTTCCCCTGGTCTCTACTTTCTGCCTCTGCATTTTTAACCCTCAGAGGATCCACCCACTGGTGACTCCCCATCCGCATCTCTGGCGTGAATCCCATATCCCTACCCGCGCACACTGCCCACATTTAGCTCAGAATTTGTCCTTCCTCCTTGAACCACTTGCGCTCACAATTTTCCCAGTGCCCAAGGCTTGGTTCCTACACCTATCCTTTGTGTTTCATTACTCTTTTGTGACACTTCTAACCGGTGGTGAAATCTTCTTTCTGAAATATATTTCACTTTCCATCCTCCAGACTCAGGCCTGGTTCTTCCCTTCCCCCTTCCCCCTTCACACCTAGTTTATTGCCATAGCCCAACCAGGCAGCCGGCCTTCAGGGAGTCTTCCTGTTCCCTCCACCAACTAACTCATCCAGCCTACCTCACCAGATCAATCTTTAAAACGCACTGTTATTCTCTTATTGCTTGGCTGCTCAGAGACCTTCCATGCCTCCCCACGGTTTCCCAAAAAAGTTCTTTTTACCTTCATATGTGGAATGTCTAAGTTGACTTTCTGGCCTTTTGAGAGTATTGCTAAGCAAGGGCAGAATACAGAGAAAAGGGCAATTAACATTGATATTTTTAATTCCAGTTATTTTTCAATAAGAAATGACAAAGAGCAAAATTTCAGTCTCAGACTCATTTTTCTTTTTTTTAACTACTACTGGAAACAAGGCAAAAAGGTCCACGTTAGTGCCATTAATCATGGAAATTGTATCCACAGGGGAAACAGACGCTTTGTGGCGTCTTCCGAGATGTGTAAAGCAGGAGAGGTAGAAATCATGAACACGCCCTTACAGCTTTGCTCCCTTGTCAGAGACAGCGTGTCCCATCGCTGCAGCTCATTTGGGCTGCTCATCTGCCATTCAGGGTTTTCTCTTAGAGCACATTCAGTAATGATAAAGCCCCCTTGTCATATCCACTCTGCCACACGTAATTAAGTTCACGCCTCCCTTTAGACAGTTCACATCAGCAGATGACCAGCTGGAAAACATCCAGCTGGAAAAATCCCCAGTTTGGGATGCAATACAGGGAAATCAGGGAGAAAGAAAATGGAGAAAAATGATCAAACTTGTCCTATAAATGACTTGAAGGAACATTCATAGCTTCTGATGCCCTCCCAATGTCTTCCCTGTTAGAAGTTCTGTCTCCGATCGCGTGAGGATAGAAAGGGTCTTCAGGGAGCAGGAGAAAGAAACTGTGTGCGAGACTGTACCACAGTAAGAAGCAGAGGCTTGGTGCAGTGTCTTGGTCTATATGTAAAAGAGGGACAGCATGGGACAGAGCAGAAAAGCTTCGCGGTGAGATCACCGGCCTGAGAGTTCGGCCATCCCTCAGCTTTTGACTGGGAAAAAATTGGCTCTGGGACTTGATTTCCCCGAGCCCTAGTTTTTCGATCTTTAAATTGGAACTCATCACAGGGCTGCAGTGCGGAAATAAATGAAAGTTAAAGTATGGTGAATAAATGGTACCATGTATTCTATTATTAATATATCCTAAACGACGGAAAATAAGTGACGAGAAGAACTGCTCATTATTTGACACAGTCGTCTTCTTGCGTTTGTTCCTTGTTTCATGGTCTCTCGTGCATGTTTTCTTTTGAGATCTTGAGGTTTCTCTAGCTTCATTTATATAAACAGAACTTCTCTGATGCACACCAAGTTGAACAGAGTAATTCTCTCTGCACCTAACTTCAGGCAGTACGGGTGGCAAGAAGTGATTTATAGTTTTTCCTTTTCTTTTGAGTCTAAGGAAAAGGAAAACTCAAAGCAGAAGTGTCTAGCTTTATCAATTTTTTTGTTTTCTCTTTCTTTCATCTCATATGCACAATTATTCTTGCCAGGGTGCTGGCCACACCATGGGAAGGAAAACCACACCAGTCACACAATGCACACATCTTTCAGCCTCAGCGCGTCCCTGTAGCACCCCTTAAGGCCTGATTTGCAGCTGAAGATAGTGTTGATTACATGGACAATAAGAGACCCAGACACCTCACTGCTTCGGAGGATAAAGCACAAGCCATCCCTCATTTCTGTTTAAACAAAATGTCCATGTTGGCAAAGGCCTTGAGTGATGGATGTACTTAGTGCAAACCTTGACTTAGGACAAGAGAAAGAAGAAAAAAGTACATAAAGGGATCTTAGACTTTGCTGATCTTTATTTCTCCTGTTGCAACAGAAGGGCGCTCTCAGGGTCTGTGAATGTTACTTTGCATGGAGAATGAAAAAAAATGAATATTTGATGTGAGTAAATACAAGCCTTTTAGTAATTTTCTGTTGCTCAAATTTAAGGCATGAATAATGCTCAAGGAACTTTATCATTTTCTTAGGTTAGTGCTTGTGTAGGTGAAAGGACACCACCCAAGGAAAAAAAATGTCCGGGGTCCTCCGGATTATAAATGCCAGTATGTCTACCTGAGAGCATGATAAAAGAGCTTTTCGGCTTTTGAAGAACAAGACTAAAAATGGGTGTTTTTCTGAGGATGAGAGAGGGAAGACAAAAGGTATAATGTGTTATAATGATAACCTAGTTCGACATTTATCACTCATGCTTTGTATCTGGAGCTCAGGGCTGGAGAGCCGATGCCTTTCCCCTTGGGAAAAGCAATGATAATCACATGTAAGGATCTTCATTTCAACAAAGTCTTATTTTAAGATCTCAGTGTACTTCAGAAGCATTAATCAGTCAGACCTTAAAGCACTATTTAATACATACGTTTTATGTGGGAACTAACCAAGAGAGACCATTCTTAGATTTGTTAGAGGCCCAGACTGAAAATTGAATTTAGGACATTTAAAGTCTTCTTGTTATTTTTTACTTAAAGTAACTTCATCTTTATGACTATGATACATTCAAAACAAAGCCTTTTGACTCAATCTAATTTCTATCAATCCTAGATGCATTTAGAAAGGCTTAATATGGAGTTTATAAGGCTAAACCTAAAAAGGAGGCTGATAAGGCTTAAGTTAGGGAGAGTTACAAAAAGAAGAACCCGCAGGTTAGAATAAAATGCTAGACTGACGTGGGGGTGACAGGCCAGAGGTTAAGGGACTTTCTAATCTTTGTGACCTTTAACCCCGTAATGGGGATGGGGTGGATTCCTGAGCCAGGCCACATGAAGCTGATTCTCTGTGTCTATCCACACATCTCTCCAGACAATCTAAGGATCACATTTCTGGCCATTTTTCCAGCTATAATGGCCACATGTCCACTTGAGAAAAGATCTCTGGCCTTCGGCCCATACTCAAGATCTGCACAAGTGTCTGAAGCTTCAAAGATAAAGAGAAGCCGACGTTTTATAGGTCTAGGGAAAAAAGGGTATGCTAGAAGCAGGGCACTCGAGACATGTTGGGTTTATTCTTTCTATTGCACAATTCTCCTCCAGGTCAGACATTGATAAAGTCAAGCGCACCAGAAAAAGCATATTTACCTCATATTTTCTTTCCTGTGTACAGTCACATACATTTCGTAGACTCTCCCTTGGGGAATGGCCCCAGCGGGAATCAGCAAGCTTACTCCTGAATAGCAAAAGAGAAAAGCAGTCACATAAGACCTATGAATCAAAAGGAAACTTCACAGAATGCCTTTGAAGCAAGTGAAAGGGAATGAGGAGATTTTGTGGCCATGCAGCTACAAGCCTGCTTTTTCTCTAAAGACATGTAAATATTCATAGCTGCCCTGCTTTCCGTCCTTATTGGTCTTATTTGTTACCACAGCTCCCTCTGAACTGTTCTGGAATTACTCAAAGGAATGATGTAATTTTTTAAACTCTTGTTTTATTTAAGGAATAGACAGATGGTTCCACTGTTGTTTTCCTTGTAAAATGAGGGGAAAACCAACAACCGCTCTTAAAATTTCAAACAGCTGTAATGATGCATCGTTTCTAATTTAAGAAAAAAAAATCCCCACGAAATTCAAAGTCAGGGAAATGCTAACCTCAATAATATCAAAAAACACTTATTTCGGAAATATCTGGCCAGCATCAGTGTTTTTCCGTAACAGAATAATAATTGGTGGAGAACTTCTTTCATCACACATAACTCTAGAAAACGAACAGACAACAGACAAACTATGACTAGTTTTTAGTCAATGCAGGTCAGGAGGGTGTTTACTCAGTTGCTAATGGACACCATTTTGTAGGACTAGGGGATCACGCTTTGTTCTAAATTCACTGGGCCTATCGCAGTTCTTTCCCATTTGAGCTTGTATCAGAATCACTTGCAGTGCTTGCTAAGGCACAGATTACTGGATCCTGGCGTTTTTGACTTATCGGGCCTACCAAAGTTGTACTTCTAGAAAGCTGTAGGGTGATGCCAATGACATGATGCCCGTGGACACACTGTAAGATGCCCGTGGACACACAGAGATGCCCGTGGACACACTGTAAGAACCACCGGCCTGCATCACTGCGGGATCATCACAAAGAATAATTCCGGGTGGGCAACAACCTGTAGACACCCGTCTTTGTGATTTTATTCCAATAAATGCAGTTTACTTTCAGCTCACTAAAAACTGACAGAGCATCGCTGTGAGTATGGTGTTTGGCAGTACTGTGAATGACACGAAGTAAAAGACAGTGTTCCTGTCTTTGAGTAATTTATACTTGAATTAGCAAGGGAATGGAATATGCCAAATGAGCACAGGGCAGTAAGGAAACTTGCCCGACCATGTTGGAAAGTCTCAAGAATGAAGAATGGAGACTTAAGGAGGAATCGTTACTCAGAGGCGTTTGTGTAACCGGTTGGAAATGTTGAGTCACGGCCTTCTCGAGAAGGAAAGTCACATAAAAGCTCAGTGCTGTGGGAAGCAATGTCACAATAGGGGACAGGATGGTTTGCTGAAGCACACAGTGGAAGCAGGAGGGCCACATGTGAGGCTACCAGCCCTTGGTAGTTTTTTATTTTTCCTAATGGGAGCAATAAAATGTACCTTTATGTTACAGGGATGAAATAAAGCTATGAATGTAAAGTGATAAGAATAATGCCTGATGCGTGTTAGGTAGCTTGTTATAAAGTAATGTATGTAAATCACCAATGCTTAGGACATAGAAAGTATTTAATACATGCAACCTCCTTCCTTTCCACTTAAGAAGCCTTTATAATAATTCATATATGAAAAAGTGACAGGTGTGAAAGTGGGAAGGAAAGGTAGAATCCAACAAATATCATGAAAAAAAAACTGCCTTGAGAATATATAACGTTTAAACAATAAAAAACAATAGAGCATATTTTGATCTATCCATCTGATAGACTTTTAGAAATATATTTTAAATCATGATTTTAAAGAGTATACAAAATTAAAGAGAAAAAGGCAAAAAATATATATATAACGTATAATCTCAGCTATGTAAAATGCATAGATAAAAGGAAAAATGAGATTCCCTTAAGTATTTTAATTTATTAAAATATACTTTTAAATGTATGGTGTGACAAACTGGCAAGGCATTGAAATAAGGGACTGAATAAGAGAAAGAATCAAGGACAAGTTCATATTCAGATCTGCAGACCAATCGGGTCTGTATATTATTTGGCTGTATGGCTATTTTTACACTATATTATTTTCTTATGCCACATGAGGACTTCAGGTCAATCAAATTGTTTCTTATTGCTGTATTGTCAAAAGAGCTAAGGTAGAGTCACAGAGGAATCCCTTAACCCTCTTATGGCCAATAGATAAAAACCCATCGCTAATACCGATAAATGAATATCAAACATTAATCAAACATTATCAGTCACTAACTTAAATTTACCATTGAAGTCCTTTATGGCACTTATACTGTAGAAGCAGGTAACTAAGTAATAAGCTGAAAACTCAATTATACTACAGATATACACTACACATAATGAGGCTGTGATTCCAGAGAGATTGATCAGAAGAGGGAGCGAGTACCTTACAAATACCTTGAGGTGGAAGATCGTATAATAAAGAGTTAAGTTAATAAATGAAGATTTGATGTCTACTATGATGTTCTCTGATCTCAAAATTAGTATTCTGAAGTATTGCTTCCTACAGTAAATTGGAAGTGAACCAACTAATATGTTTTCTAATTAATTTGTCCTTTTAAAGTGTGATGACAACGGCGAGCACTTCTGGCTTGCCGTTGCCTTCTGAAGCTCTATTAAAAAGAAGGTCAATGACAGTTCCAAATTAAATCTTGGCAGAAAGTTGTGAGTATAATATTTCTAGAGGAAGTGTTTTCCGAGTTGGCTGGAGGAAGATGAATGGTTTGGCTGATTTTGTCTGAAGTAATGTTGATCTACATCGAAAGTAGATTTGGGTTAGATTAGGCTCCAACTAACTTTTCAGGCCTAATGAAAACAAACAGATAAAAAAAAGATTTGGGTACAAACATACGTTCTCAAGATCTATGTGATTTCAACCTCTAGGAATTACCTGAATTGGGAACAATCAGGTGACCCCCGAGAGAGTTGAAGGTGCCAAATGCAGTACAAGATGGATCCGTCTGCCTTGCTAGACTCTGATTCTTCACGTTGAGCGCCTCGTTCTCCAACAAAGATTGGGTCATCTGAGGAGACAGCTTTGATGCAAACTCAGACAGGTCATCTTGAGGGGTGACAGCACCGGAAGTGTTGTACACTTTGATTTTCAGGTTGGGCAGTGGATCCAGAATTGGAGAGTTGGTCATTGGGATTTTGTCTGAGACATCATGCAAGGCATAGACAGGTCCTCTGTACATGGCGGCAGCTGATGTGAGGTCTGGGGGTACCACCAGGAGATCTGAGTCAGAAAGAGAAAGGAAGTCCATTTGCATTCTCCATTCAGGTAACTTCTACTAGTCAAGCTCACCTTGGTACTTTCTGAGCCAAACACAAATGAACAAATGAATATTCGAGATGTTTAGACTCTAAGGTTCTGTTGAAAACAGGGCAATGAGATAACTACAATCCATTTTATTGTTGGCTACAAATTAGGAGACGAGTTCATTCTGTATTTTGCCTTGAAGTCTACTCATTGTTCCTAAGGTATTTAGCTATTTCAACAGATTGAATTCGAAGACAGTGATCTGCATTCAATGACTTAGGTAATAGTTTTCCTTGTCTATACTGGATTTGAGGTCATCTGTAGACCACTATATTCATAGCTATGCAAGCTGTAGTGTCAAAAGGCAAAAAAAAAAAAAAAAAAAAAAAAAAAAAAAAAAAAAAAAAAAAAAAAAAAAAAAAAAAAAAAAAAAAAAAGGACGGGGATGTAGGAAATCAGTCAACCAATCTGTGTATTCTTTTAAAGTAAAAGTTTAAAAGTATGACATAGAAACCTAAGACAAAAAAATGATTTGTGCATCTTGTCACCTCTAGTTTGTTATATGAATGAAGTCAACAGAGTAATGACCCTGATTTTGTCTGAAGTAATGTTGACCCAAATCCATGTCTTCATGGAGCTAATGCTCTGGCTAAACTACATGACTTGAAAGTCTCCGATTTTGGCACCACACAGGGATGCTGGTCACATGCATACATCACAGGTGTGGAGTGCAACGTTAACTGACCTTGTCTCGCTGCCTTGATGTTCACAGGCTGAAAGCCTCCATTGAGCGCCGAAGAGTCAATAATATCAGACTCAAAGTCACGATGATTCTTGCGATACACAAATAGGGCCACAACTACAGAAATGGCCAGGCAAACTATCACAGCTATCACAATGCCAACATACAGAGCGACATCATCTGAATCGGGAGCAGCTGGAGAGGACAAGGAAACATTGGACCAACTGCTTAGAGAAATTTCCCACAGATCACATACATATTGTCGGTAATTTTTTTTCCGACATTTATTGCCTTTTTTATAGGTTAATTTCAAATCTATTTCAAAAGCTATATAAAACGACTGTGGCCTTTCAGTGGAAAATTATCTCTGATTTCTTTTCCTTTCTCACTCTGCATCTACCCACCCACTAATCTATCTTAAATTGGGCAGCATAACAGACCATTTATTAGAAGGCATAAAAAGAAACTGGAACTAAAACCATCCCAACTCATAGGGGAAAAAAAGTTCACTACTAATTTCAGGTGGAAAAGTTTGGAAGGCTGCTTTGAATTCACTGATAGTTCTCTAAAAAAATAAACATCAATATCCTGTTAGAAATATCTGGCATGTTCTGAATCTGTATATTTATTGAATCAGAATATGTTTTTAAGTATCATTCAAGTCAAAAGGTTACTTCCCACAAATAACATTCTTCTCACTTTCCCCTAAATCAGTGAACAGATGGGTGAGAACGGTATATGTAACTAAGCAAAACAAATACTAGGAGCAAACACATTGGATTTTAAAGATGTGCTTTCAGAAGATTTGGAGAGCAGAGGTCATTGTTGATAACACCAGACTTTTGATACAGATTCAGTATTACCTCTGAGAACTATGAGGGTCTCATGGTCTCTGGTCAGCGATTTACATTTAGCCACTTGTTACCGAATCAAAATGTCTGTATGGTGCAGAGTAAGATAAAGGCCTGGTTCAGTGATCATAAAGGTCAGACTACCCTAGAAGGCAATTGAGCATTTGACCAACACAGTGTGCAATCGGTCGGGAGATCTGTTTCTGGGTAAAGCAAGAGGACGATTCCTGTAAATGTTCATCTTGCCTTGGGGGCATAGAACATACTTGGCTTCAACTGCAAAAGGTGATAGAAGCTGATAATTGAAACAAAACGAACAAGATTAAACCTTTCCAGAACCCCGCAGACACCTTTAAGTCTCTGTTTTTAGTATTTTGTGACCCACAAAAATTTTCAGCAGAGGTAACCAAAGCTTCTCCACTCACTATAAAAGAGGTGATTTTACACTGGTATTGCAAATAGTCAAGAACAACCTTTTTATGCTCAATTTTATATACACGTGCGGTTTGGAGGAAGGGAGTTTTCAGATATGTGAGTCCCATGGCCTCCTAAAAGCTGAAGAGCCCCTATTCTGTCCACTACGACTCACAGCCACATAGTTTATGTAGGGGAAATGACTCATCATTTAGATTGCCAGTGGCTCACTCAAACTCTTGTGTCACGGTTTCTTTGACACGTTGACAGTTTAAAGGGATTCTCTGTTAGAAACTGCTCTCTTTCAGCATTTTGTGTTTAAATATACTGTATGTGAGAGACATTTCTTTTTTAACTATTATCTTTCCCAAAGTTTCCAGAATATCAACTTTCGCATCTACTAAGTCAATATTGACAGATCTTTCCAAAATACTAGTGACAGCCCAAACACTCTTGGTTGTATGAGCACTGCTTTCCAAGGGCTGACCGGACATTGCTGCTGGGTAGTATCTGAAGTCCTGCAGCAGTATTCTGAACTCCAGCCAGAACATTACATCTAAATCCTTAGGGTTTTACTTTATCAGGCTGTAATTACTTACCCAACATTCATGCTTCCTAACTCAACAGATCTGCATTTTCTCAACCCTTTACTTTTTAGCATTTGAACCTGGCCCTTTATTAGATCAGCACATTTCATGATATGGTTTGTCAGCTATTGGGACTGAAGCTTTGAATGGTAGACTGATAGATTTTAAAGCTGGCAGAGGCTTGAAATGACCCTTCTTTCTTCTCCTCGGTGGTGAAAATCTAATTTGTTTTTCATGTTAGAATATATTAGGCGCCTATTTCCTGTGTGCACATCTGTGATCTAAAGAAAGGTAAACTTGAACTGGGGGCAATAACGTTAAATGATTATTCAGCAACATAAAAACTAAACATCAAACTTACAAGAAAATCCATATTCATTCTGGGTTCGCTGTTCAGTTGAGATAGGATAAAGGAAACCTTGAAAAGAACAAAAAAATGAAACAAAAATGGGAACAAAATCAAATTAATGAGGGAAACAAAATAAGAAGCATGAAAAATGGTTTAATTAAAAGAAAAGGAAAAGAAACCTGTGGTCCTTTAAAATACTGGTTCAGTACAGAATTATGATTTTGCATCTCCTGTCTGCTCTGGAGCCTTACCAAGAATTAATAAGTAGGCAGATTGAATTTCAGAGCAAAACTGGTCTCGAGTCACTAACTTTGGAGTGCTTAAAGTCTTTCTTTTATTGAGCATAAACTCTAATGGATCTAATTTATTTCAGACATCAAGGGTCATTAGCATAAGGAAAATCTTTTTTCCTTATCCCTGCCATATGCTTTAATTCCCAGGACATATTCAGTAAGGCTCTAAGCAGTTTTTTTCTTTTTTTTTTTTTTTTTTTTTTTTTTATTTAATCATAACAGCTTGCTCTTGGTCTAATAGAACTAAAGAAGACCTGTCATCATTGGTCAAAGGTTAAATACCCATTTGCTGAGCTGAGCTGAGCTGAGCTGAGACCACCCTTCCTCCCTCCATCTCAAATCCACCTTTTGGATTTTTGGTTGTTTCTTGTTCCTCCATTTAATAGGAATCCAATAGGTTTTGCCCAGGGACTGAGCAGTTTCTCAATGCAACGGAAACTGGATGCTTTTTATTTGAAATCACTCAAAAATCAATAGGGCCTAGAGGTTATAAGGTTATTTATTTCAGGGCTTCAGAGGAATAGTGTAAATTGGGAAAAATAAAAACCTCATCTCAACAATAAATGCACAGGTAACACTAGCCTTTTTTATTTTTCTTTCTTTTGAGTATATCCTAAGATATGAAGGAAGATGATGATGATGATGATGATAAAAATAATGTCAAGAAGAAGGCGGGGGGAAACATTTTAAAAACGTGGAATATAAATTTAAAACTTTTAATATGTAAAAATTTAAAGGTATAACTTATAACTGGTACCTCCAGTTTCCTAATATTTAATCTTCTATAACATATGAATTGATCAAATGATACAGCGCCATTTGGATTAATCAAATGAAGATGACACGAATTAAACTTTCCTAGTAATGCTCAAGGGCAAAAACTGTAGAGAATCTGTAAGAATCACAATTAATTTGCTCAAAATTAAAGGTCTGTAATGCTCTAATACCAAAGGTAACTCTAAATCGTGCCTTAGGTAGATCTTCTGTAGTTTGCAGAACACTCAGCTCTTATAAGCTATTTACCTATTTGGGGAAGTAATTCAGGAGAAACATGCCGTGCTACCTTAATGAAAGAGAGGTTTGCTGTAGCACAGACAAGTTTGCTCTGAATTAATTTTTAATGCTTTATTTTAGAGCAATGATTGCAACCTCCTACTCAGTTTTATAAATATTATATTTCTTATTCCAGTTGTCTGAGTCCATGTATTAGGTTTGATTTTCATTTTTAAACACTTCTGTCTGGTAATAACCTTTTTCCATTTGTATTCTGTGAACTCAATAAAAGGACATCTGGGACATATACAGGCACTAGAAGAAAGGTTATTTATTTTGAAACCTAAAGATGTAAGACAATATGAGTTCACTGCTAGCAGAGGAGAGGAGGTAACTGATGTCATCATTCTGGTAGGGAAGGTATTATGGAGAGGGGTGTCAAAATATTCATTTCTTGCAGATTAGAAGGCCTGGCAACAACTGTAAAATAGGATATCTGGGGATGGTCCGTTGTTCGTCTTGAAAATTTTGATCACAATCAGCATGGGCCTGCTGGAGTACGCAGAAGAATTGTATCTGAGAGAGGGAGAACACAGATATAACATGGTCTGAAATTTCTCCCTGTGAGGCAGTTCTGGATTTGCCTTGGCTTTTACCTCTACTTCCCAACAGAATGCCTGTTTTTGAAAGCAGACCAAGGAATAGTAAATAAGGAACTTTATAATTTTGCTTTTAATCTCAACTTTCCCATATTTATGTAGAGCTGGACAACTCAAAAATATTTTGGTAATTTATGGCATTCATCTGGGACTCTATTTCATTCTAGGCACAGAATTGGAACTCATTCATTCATTCATTCACCTAACAAATACTCTTGAAGCCTATTATATACTGGGTTCTATTCTAGGCACGGGGTACAAGGACAAACAAAAATGGGAAATGTCCCTGCTTGTGTTCTAGTTTAACAGAAAATAAGTAAAAATAATAAATAAGATCAACTCAAATGCTGAAAAATTTATTTTAAGAGATAGAAAAAAAGAATGTCATGTGATTGGAGATAACGGGATGACCACCTTAGGATTTCAGGGAGCAATTTTTTGTTGAAATGGGATTTGAGCTGAAACTTGAACATGAGAAAGAATCAGCCAAGTTGAAATCATGAGGGACTGATGCTCCTCAAAGAACAGCCGTGAATGCAGAAGTCCTGACATAAAAATGGAGGGGTGCCTGGGTGGCTCAGTCAGTTGACCATCAGATTCTTGATTTCGGTTCAGGTCATGTTCTCACAGTTTGTGGGATCGAGTCCCACGTTGGGATCTGTGCTGACAGTGCACAGCCTGCTTGGGATCCTCTCTCTCCCTCTCTCTCTGTTCCTCTCTCTCTCTCTCTCTCTCAAAATAAAATAAGTAAACATTAAAAAAATGGAGTGGGTGGAGGGAAGCGATTGAAAGGAAAAGGGAGGAGGCAGGCTCAGAAGGGTGAGGGGTAGCCAGGTCCTGTAGGCCTGGTGGGCCAGGATGAGGCATTTTGATTTTATCCTAAATGAAATACAAATCCCATGATCCAATGTAATTTTGAAAAGATTGTTTTGATTTTCCTATAGGTAATGGAGAGCAAAGGGAGCAAAGTGACAGGGCTTTATGGATGGTTTCTATGACACGTGGCTTGGGAGATGTCTATCAATAGGTGTATCAATGTAGTTGATAAA